GATGAAGTACCTGGAGCACTTGGTTATCAGACCGGACATGACAATCCGCCATGGGTATGTGAGGTTACGAACCCAAGCTCGGAGAGATCTGAGGCGAAGATGGGATCAGGCGGAAGACCGGACCAGCGACGACGGAACATGGTTGCTTGGGCGAGCAAGGAGGACGAGGAACGGCGAGCAACAAGCCGAGCAACGAGTCAAACAGAAAGGCGAGCAGCGACGGCGAGTAAGGACGGCAATCGAAGATTGTGATTAAGGAAGGCGGAGAATAGAAGGACTGGTGAGTCGGCGGGAGGGAGGCACTATTCAAGATGTGAAATAACTGTTTGATAGCGTGTGTGCATAGAAAGGCGCCGAGCGCATCTTTTCACTCGGATCACGAGTGTAGAAGCGTGTAGAACAGAAGAAGCCGGAAGAAGCTTCTTCAAGAGTGGGAGATAAGGTATTTGGTCAGGACGTGCCTGCCGTTCTACCTAGCCAAGGAGCAGAAGAGATGGCTTATGACTAAACAGCCACAGCCAGATGATGTGGCAGGAGATGCAAGCAGAGAATGACTGCATTTTCGGCTGTAGTTTCCATTTTTCGCCAAACGAACTAAGCTGCGAGGCCTGCAAACAGGTGTGACAAGTGAAAGGTTGCCGCCGCCCGGCATATTTGACACAAGACTTGTTTGGACATGATGATTTTGGCACTGGCGGAGTCGGCCAGCAACATGGACGCGATCCCATATCTAGTCGAGCAACAACTCGGGGTCCGAAGACAGTATTGGCAGAGCTACACTGGCGGAGTCAGCCAGTAATATCGGCGCGCTCTCCAGTCCAGTCAAGCAACAGCTCGCGGTCTAGGACAATATTGGCAGAGCTACACTGCCGGAGAACGCGACGGCGTTGACATGGTGAAATACGTCTCCGTACCTACGATGCGTAGCCTATTGTCCAACAGTCCCTGCATTCCAGGCCGTTGGCCATTTCTCTCTTGCAACAGATAGCGCCGGTCACTTCTTCTCTCTTGCGACAGATAGGCGCAGAGGGTCACTGGCGGAGAATGCAGAGACGCTGACATGGTGAAATTCGTTTCTGTGCTTACGATGCGTAGGTGGTCTATTGTCTAACAGTACTTGCATGTCAGGCTGTTGACTCTCTTGCGACAGACAGGCACAAAGGTGAACGGAATCTAGAGGTATCTCCCATGCAAACTTGCCGTGACCATGAAGGAATCAGTCATCTTGGCTGAAGACGAGACGAAGGCGCAGACTTGGCTCAGCTCAGAGGCGACGGCGAGGTTGGGGGTTGGCAGATTGGAGTTGAAAGAGAAAAGAATCCATCCGAGGGGGGGGAGCGTTATATGATTTTGCTCCTTCCTTTTTTGCTGCCTGTCTTCCAAACCATTGTTCATTCCCCTCTCCTTCTCTTCGATGCCTTTCGTACGGCACTGACATGACATGACCTCGACTAATGTGGCGGGCGCACTGACGACATGGAGCCTCACGACCTCCCGACTGTAAACATGCGGCGACCCATCTGATCCACTGCAGCAACACGTGTGACACATTGTCGCGCATACCGTCAGACAAAAGACAGACAGGCGCAAAGGTAAATGAAACAGAGCGACTTCTTCCCTGCAAACATGCCTTGACGATGCTAACGAAATGGAGCGGCGCGACATCTGGACAACGACCGCGTCACACACACAGACACGTATTACCCTTAAAGAAAAGACAGACAGACACGCAGGACAAAACATGGTGGATATTCTTCCTCACACCCCGAGCCAAAGCCCAAGATTGCAGTGAAAAAAGTGTTCGCGTCGCCTGGACGAAGTGTAATACCAGGGACACAGTGGCAGACGACCATAGGCAAGCCAAGAGGGAAGTCCACCGAGGGCCAAAAATAAGGATAATCGAGATCCTTCTCCGTAGAGAAGTTTCAGAGATTAAACTGAAAAGAACAGATACTACACTTGATCTAAGCCAAAAGGCAAAGAGAGCTAAAGAAGAAAAGAAGAAAAGGAAAGTATAAAATCAGGGACGGGAGAGACGTATAAATACCCCAAGCAGGTGGTACGTGCACGGTAGCAACTTTTTGGTGGCCCGTGCGCTCAAAAAGGTACGTACCTTTTACACCGCCTGGCAGTAAATCAATGGGACGTGAGCACTGGGCAGGCAGCGCGTGAGCTTGATTGACCACTAGGCAAGACGAATTGAACCGCCAGCGACAGTGGTGATAATACCTCTCGCCCCCTCGCTTCTCGACCTCACCCTGTCATCGACCGGCCAATACACACACATACACACACACAAATACTCCCTACGAAGACAAACTCCGGGGTCTCACTACATAGTCAAGATGTCCATGTTCCGGGCGAAAAAGTTCGACTTGGGGTGCTTCGCCAACGTCAAGACGATCCGCGACCACTCCAAGCGCAAGGCATTCGAGGCGGCCGAGCCAGAGAGGTATCTACATTAACCATCCATCTAGAACCCAATTGTCTACGAGTCGACATGTTCTGACATAAAAATCGAATACAGACAAGCACTCCGCTACATGGTCCGCAACACCACCCTCCCGCAGCGCACGCGCGCCGTCGCCCAGCTCCAGCTCACCCAGATGCACTGCTACACGCGGCCCACCCAAATCCGCAACCGGTGTATCCTGGGTGGGAAAGGGAGAGGTGTGCTTCGGGACTTTAAGATGACAAGAGTATGCCTCCTCCTCCTCCTCCTCATCCATGTTTCCCTCCCTCCCTGTTGATTAAGATGGGACGGACGGACTCTGGTGATCGAATGGTGCTAATAATAATAAATAAATAGTTCAACTTTCGTATGCAAGCTCTCCAGGGAAATATTCCCGGCGTGAAGAAGGCCAGTTGGTAAAAAAACGAAACGGACAGAAAAGTTACCTTGTTCAATCTGGGAAAGAGAGAAAAGAACATACATATTCGGGAGGATACACCCATACCATACACGACATTGGCATAGAAAAAACGTATGCGAAATAGAACGGGCGGGCTAAACAGATAGCCAATGTGTTTCCCTATCAGTTACCACATGGGATGGTTGACAGGAATCCCGAAAAGGGGGTAAATCTAGCCATGACTCTCTCCGCGGTGATGACCCTGTCTCATACTCAAAATATGTACAGGTTTTTGTTACATTATACTTTGTAAATAAAGCGAGACAGAGAAAGGTGTAGCGCACGGGCCCCTCCAATAGAGCCCCGCTGGAAGGCGCAACTGAATTTCGATCTCCAATAATGGTCTCCGCAAGTGTATTCGCCAAAACCTGGACTTTGAACCTCGGGCCGATAGGAGAGCGGATCAGACAGAGACAGCATGGTGTGGTTTCCGCAGTGGACCACGGAGCCGATTCCGGGGCTATCACTCTCAGCCAGTGGCCTGCTTGCGCTCGCCGACCTCAGCACCATCGCCCAGCGGACGGCCATCACTGGAGGCTCCAGTTGGCTGGACAGCCTGATCCTCGCGCCCGGCCTCCACTACCAGCAGGCTGCCGACGAGCTCGCCCGGCGGTCTGGTGCCGGGTCTGCCATCGTCGACGCGGTCGAGCTGGAGGCCGACGAAGACAAGGGCAGCGACGGAAGACCTCCCATCACTACCTTTCGAATCAACAATGCCGCCACCGCCCTCTACCTCCAGCGCATCGCTCGTCCGGGCCAGACCGTGACGCTCGACGTCGGTGCCATTCCGATTGGCAAGACCCGCTTCTGGCTTAGACGGTCCAACAGCGGGAACCATGCCACCGTCTGGGCCGAGACGGACCTGCCTGACCTGGGATGGATCTCGCAGGTCTTGTATCTGGCGAGCCCGTTGCTGACTATTGCCGCCCTTGCGTTTGTTGTTTTATTCCAAGATTGTAAGTTGGCAGCCCCCTTTTCATCATGAGGTCCGTCTTTGGCCGAGTCACAGCTCCAAGAGATTCATGTCAGCATTCGCAACCCGGGAGAAAAGGAAAAAAGAGAAGAAAAAAATAAAACCAGATGCTTTACATAGATAATAACAAATATTGTTCCAGGGTGGACACTCGCCTCTTTATTGGCCTTCATGCTTTCGCGCTTGCTCAACATCTGGGTGATCAAGCAGCGAGCTGTGCAGCCGCCTGCTGACGCATCCTCGCCAACCGCGAGTAGAACGTCAACACTACCCAGAGCAGCAGCAGCAGTCACGCCCCACTCCGCCGCGGCAGCCATGGCCCACCTGAACCGGCAGACCGAATATGTCATCAACATCGGCGACGGCCGGTCATGCGTGCGCCTGCGCGGCAAGGCGTCCGACCTGCAAGCCATCACGCAAGACGCCTGGCTGCGCTCCAAGACGCACATCGAGGGCTACCTCGAAGCCGTGTCCAAGCTGCTCGTCTACGGGGTCGCCGCCTTCTCGGGCAACACGACGCAGGCAGGTTCCATCGTGATGATGGGCCTCCTGCTGACCACGGCCGGCCTGCTGGCGCTGAGCAACGCCCACGCCAAGTCGTTCAAGGTCAACGGGCGCGTGACGGCCCCGGACGATAGTGCCGCGGGCAGGGGAGGCGATGGTGCTCCGCTGTTGTCGTGGGGCAAGAGGAAGAAGCCGGTGGATACACTTGCTGCTGGTGCTGCTGCTGGTGCTGGGGGTGAGAGTGACGATGGTGTAAAGCAGCAGCAGCAGCGGGATAATAATAATAATGGAGTGGTCCCGCCACCATCGGCGGCCGCTGCCGGGTCAGATGGTGGTGGTGGCAGATTCAGCAAGACGGACGACGGCGCGGAGAAGGGCCTATGATAATAACCTAAGTACACACTAATGACCAGCCATAGTAGCATTCCTTGCGTCTTGCAAAGTATGAATTCCACGCTCCATCCATACTGTGGAACCCCTCACATGCCACTCATGCCATTGCTTGGTGCCTTTCTTCTAGCTGCTTGCCCCCTCCTCCGGTGCCCCCCTTTCTTCATACTTGGGCCCCATAGCTGCTCCATCTCTTCATCAACAAGAACATTCAGCGTTCCGGCCCGCTGGCCAAATGGTAAGGCATCTGATTTCGGTCTACATCTGCTACTCCTTGTAGAAGATAATCACTCAGAAGATTGTGCGTTCGAGCCGCACGTGGGTCGATGTGTTTTATTTTTGGGCATATTACCTTACTGCAGTGCAGTAAGGAGAAAATCTTTGTCAGTGATATGATATCTTGCTGTCTTTGGCAAGCTCCTTTGGCCCCTTTTGGCATTATTTCACACTTCGGGCCAGCTGGGACGTGGTCCCTAGCCTGTCTTCTACGTCATCACCTGTTCGCCTCAACTGAAGACAGCCTGGGCACGAATAGTAAGCCTCGCTGGGCAAGGAAGCATGTTTCTTATTTATTTTTCTAGATGACTACCCAGCCAGGTGGGTAGGTACCTTATGCCATGCATGCCCCAATCTTCACATTGTCACGTTTCCGCTTGCCTACCTGGTCGTTCAAAGGAGTAATGTGCGCTGCCCGAGCGGCGTGGGATCCCTGCCAGGCACGCCGACAACAGAGCGTCCTGTTGAAGCCGAGAAGGGCGACCTCCTGACACGGCACCGCCTACCCTTACTTGCCTATGTCCTCCTTGCTAGCGATGCTACATGTGTAGCGTGCAAGTGGCTTGCCAACCATGCTCCCCTGTTTACTCAGATTTGCCAGAAGACCCCTTTCCAACTGCCTATGTTGTCCCATAGCAGCTATAGGAGCCACACACTATGCCTGGGCGCGGAGGAGCACGCAGGGCATATAGCCCAGCTGTTGAAGGGCCTTCTCGGTGTCGGCGTCAGGAGGTCTATCGGGGCAGAGATGAGAGAAAGGGATAGGCGGTCTGCGGGCAGCGTCTGTTCAGGGGGCAAGGTCAGCCAAATGCAGGACACTATGAGGGACAGAACAAGCATCACAGCGATCCAAGCTCTTCAGCACACCGGAGATAGCCCGCAATGGCCGGTCTCGTCGAGTCCAGGGCTGTACAGGGCCTACAATTCAATGAGAGCATCTAACTCACGCGACTGGTACAACCCAGGAGGGACGGGAAAACTATGCAGAGCATGCATTCCAGGCGCGCGCGTGAGGTGTACGGCTTCGTGTGCTGGTGTAGTTTTCAAACGAAGTGGTTGCGGCGCAGTGGCTTGCGACTGACAAAAACTTCGCACGGGCCACTGGAAAGGAGCGCCCTATAATTTACAGCGCTCTTCAGTGCTCTACTGAAACTCAGGGTCTTTAGGGAGTGACGCAGCGGCTAGTGGCGGGATTAGCTGAGAATGATGATGGGCGAAATTTCCCACTCTGGGTCGAACGGGTCTCAGCGCCGATTTTCGTCTCTGCCCTGTCACAGAAAGCCCGGCATTGAACAACCCCCCAGAGAGAGATAGATCCCCGAACCCAGCCAATCCGCCGGAGCTCGCAACATACAACAACACATAGCACACATGATGGCATCCTCTGTACCGATCCAGCGGATGCAAGGGCCCCTCCGGCGCTCGCTGGCACGAGCAGCACAAATCTCGTCATCGTCTCGTTCATACGCCACCATCCCGACATCGTCCCCTTCTTCAGAGTCGCAGTCGACGACAGAGTCTTCCTCAACCCCCTCCGCCAGCAGCAGCAGCAAGCCCGTAACACGGCCAACATATTTCAAAGACAGCACCGTGGCGCCCTTCTCCGAGTTTCTCCCATCTGCCGCGGCGCCGCTCGCCCCCAGCGAGGCTTACACGCTTCGCACGGTCGAAGTCGGGCCCGCGGGCCGCAAGCGCACCATCACGCGGCTGCCCGAGTGGCTCAAGACGCCGATCCCATCTGCGGGAACGAATCCCAACTACGCCAAGATCAAAGCCGACCTGCGCGGGCTGAACCTGCACACGGTGTGCGAGGAGGCGCGGTGCCCCAACATCGGCGAGTGCTGGGGCGGCAGCAACAAGGCGTCGGCCACGGCGACCATCATGCTCATGGGCGACACGTGCACGCGCGGCTGCCGGTTCTGCAGCGTCAAGACGAACCGCAACCCGGCGCCGCTGGACCCGCACGAGCCCGAGAACACGGCCGAGGCGCTCGCCCGCTGGGGTCTGGGGTATGTGGTTCTTACGAGTGTCGACCGCGACGATCTGGCCGATGGCGGCGCCAACCACTTCGCCGAGACCATCCGCCGCATCAAGCACAAGAAGCCCACCTTGCTGGTCGAGGCCCTCACAGGCGACTTCATGGGCGACCTGGACCAGGTGCGCATTGTGGCCGAGAGCGGGCTGGACGTCTATGCGCACAACGTCGAGACCACTGAGGGCCTGACCCCTTATGTACGCGACAGAAGGGCCACCTTCCGCCAGTCCCTAAAGGTGCTGGAGCATGTCAAGGCCGTCAAGGGCAAGGACAACATTATCACCAAGACGAGCATCATGCTGGGCCTCGGCGAGACGGACGAGGAGCTGTGGGAGACGCTGAGAGGTATTTATATCCCTCTGCCCCTTTTTCCCCAAAATATCTACCCCAACCCCCCCTTTTTTGTCTGGGTTGTGTATACTAATAGGACATACATAAAAACAGAACTCCGAAAAGTCGACGTCGACGTCGTCACGTTCGGGCAGTACATGCGCCCGACCAAGCGCCATCTCAAGGTCGAGAAATACGTCACGCCCGAGCAGTTTGAGCTGTGGAGGCAGCGCGCCCTGGACATGGGCTTCTTGTTTTGTGCGAGTGGTCCGTTGGTCAGGTCGTCGTACAAGGCCGGCGAGGCGTTTATCGAGAACGTGCTCAAGAAGCGCGCCGGCCAGCAGAAGTCTTCTCTTTCGTCGGAGAGCGCTCTCGGGCAGGCGGCGATGGCTGCTGAGGAGACGATGAGCAGAGATTCCTCTTTATAGGGGAAAGCTGATTGTCCATAGAGAGCTGCTTCTGCTCTATAGAGACGAGTAGGGACTCCTTATAGGAGAGCTGCTGCTCTTTGGAGACCTGCAGAGACCTCTCTTTACAGGGAGAGCCACTCTGCTCTTTCGGGGACGCCTAGAGACTCCTCCTTATAGGGACATCTTCTCTGCTCTGTATAAACGGTGAGGGGACAGAGTGGGTAGTGTTTGTGTAACAGTGTGCGTTCAACATATCATTTCGGGATGGTGTCTTCACGCACCCATTCTGCGTTTGCTTATAGAGGGGAAACTCGGGAAATCTGGTTATAGAAGATGGGCAACTGGGTTTGTTATGGGTTTGCATCAGGACTCAATTCGGCGTCAAAGACAGGGTTTTTTTTAATGTTAAGAGACAAGGTATATTTATTGAACGACTTGGCGTAGGCGTTGCTCAGCGCCAGCACGCCCGCCGCTCGTTCAATCCCGCCGCAGCCCAAACACCCTTCGCAAACCGCTGCAGGTCCTGAATGCCAAGTACAAAATCTCCCTCTTGCGGGCCTGGATCGCGAAGGAAACGAAGTCGAAATCCTAGTACCAATGCTCCCCTAGTAACATTATACGATACTGGATTTGTCGTTTCATCACGGGTGATGGTGATTGACTGCCGTTTCACGGGCGCGAAAACACCACCCTGCTGCAATATAGCAGCAGCCCGTCCCCGCGTGATCGCTCCTTGTGGTAACGAGATTTCTTCCTCCGATTTCTCTAGCAAAATATGGTGTTGCTGGCGGTCGAATTTTGCTAGAATAACGATCTTGACGTCGTGGTTTGATGTCCGAAACCACCACTGCATATCTTTATAAATGTCGGCTAATTTTGGGATTCTCCGGCCCCGATGACTAGTGTTGGCCACTTGTCTTTTCCTTCACGTTCCGGCTTCGGAACGCCTGTCGAATCGCCTTCTCTGCCGTCTCCTCCAGGATGGCCTTGTTGCCGAAATGCTGTAGTACCTTTTGATATCCAGCTTTCCTCCCTACCATTCGGGACGAGCTGGGTATGATACCGCATATATATTCCTAGGTGAAGGGCCTCGTGTACTTCGGTTGGGAGCGTAATAATTAAGATCCGGGCATTGCTATCGTAGCGGCGAAAACGGAATTTGCGGCGTTGCTCCTCTCGCTCACGCTCGATTTCGGTGAAATGACTGGGAGAGACGTCTAAATAATTAGTATACTACATAAAAATAAGAGGGTATACCATGCTTGTGACGATAAGGAAATCCCTAGTAGTGTAATCAATTACGTCGAAGAGATCTTGTACATCGGTAAATCGCAAAATCGGGGGATCGTTATCTTGTGTTGACTCTCCCAACGTAGGCATAGTAAACGCCGACGAAACTGCTGTAGATGCAGCCGATGGAGATACCGCCGGCGGCGGCCTCGATGCAGTCGATGGCATGGCGAAGCGTTGCTGAAGCTGGGATCTGTGAAGCGGGATGCGTGGGGAAGCCACTGGAGGGGTACTGGGTGCTCAAGCTGTTGAAAATGGCGGGTCCGCACTAGCCGAAAACGGCAGTCCAGACACTCGATGTGGAGATCGAAATTGTAGGGTGGTGTGTATGCAGTGGCTGATTCGATGTAAGGAGGGAAGAATCCCTGTGCCTGTGCCTTAATGGCCCAAATACAATCTGGGTGCCTCAGGCTGAAAATGGTGGGTCACGCTACGGGCGTGTGCCCAACAGAAATTAAGTTGCGCCTTCCAGCGGGATCTACTGGAGGGGCCCGTGCGCTGCACCTTTCTCTGTCTCGCTCCTGCCTCGGGGACTACAACCTTCCCAATCTAGCCTCAACCTTGATAGCCTTGATCATTTGATGGGATGGACATTTCCGGGGCAAGTAAAGAGGGTGTGGAGATCGGAATTTCCTTGGACCCCAGTCCAGCTAAAAACTCTCGGACACTGTGTCAAAGAATGGTGTCTTGACTGGTGCACTTTTGGCAAACTTGAACATCATGATGAAAGAGAACGGCACTCCATACTATCACACCGAGACACACATCAGACACTCATTCTATTGTATGATTCGTCTTTTCTTGCGGAATCGGAACCAAAAACGGTTTGTTGATCATCGGATATTGTTTTCGCCTTTCGGATGATGAGTTGGTGCTTGGGCCCTTGAGCAACCCACCGCCATCCATCAGCCACTGACGGCCACGGCCCGACCCTCAGCGTCACCCTCCACTATTGAGCGTCTCAGAAAGGAAAAAAAGACCCTCCGGAGTTTGGTAAAGTCCTGTTGGGGCTCTGTCTCTTTTCAACCGACGATCCCCATAAACCTCATGAAGCAAGTGTCTTGGTCGGTGGGATCGTGGGAAGTCCGGGTAATATTCCAAGTGTGACTGGAGAGCCATGTGTGTGAATCAATCAGTTCCAGGTCCCTGAACTTGGAAGTAAGTGGGTGACAAAAGCTCACCTACGGAAGGCGAAAGGATTTGACAGGTACCTACCTAGGTACCCGTGTTTGTTGTAAGTCGCACCTTCCTAAAAACATCATGAGGCAGTCACCTCCGAAAGCAAAAGAGAAAAAAAAGTAGGAATTGGCGGCAGGGTCAATCTGACAAGCAAGTATATCCCGGCCACTCATTCCAGAGACTGTTTAATTTATCTCGTTGGAAAAGCCTATGCTTGATGAAATGTTTGAAGCCATATAGATGCTGTTGGAAGGCGCCAAGTCGTTCGCGTTCGAACCGTGACTTCCCAATTCTACCATGTATGTGTGAGGACAGTGGGGTGACGGGCCCCCGCTCGAGACAAAGTTTTCCACTTCAGTTCACAGAATTTGGATCCGGAACAATTACCTACCTCTCAAAATACAGATAATTTAAACATATTACTCTCGTACTATAAATGACGATTCAACTCATGGCTTCTGAGTCATAAGTTTTTATTGTTCAAGGTTCATGGAAGTCACCCGTTCCTTCAAGAAGATAGAAATCTGCCGTGTCCGCATGCCATATCGAGGAGTTCTAAATACGACAAACAGCAAGCTCACTGTCTAATTGGTAATTAATCAACAAGATATTTATTTGGTTCCACATCAGCTACTGTCTGTACTTACTATTTTTTGGGGTTTTTGAAGTTCTACAGTCTTGCGCTCATGAGGATATAGATAGGCGCTTAATTATCACCAAACTATCATTACAACAAGGCGGGCCTGGTGGCCAAATGGTAAGGCATCTATTTCGGCTTCTAACGAGCTTCTCTCTGAAGATTATGTGTTCGAGCCGCACGTGGGTCGTCACTACTTTTTGTCTGGGAAGCCAATAGATTAACCACTATTTTTTGGGTGCAGGTGTTGCAACTTTGCAACTTTGTAGTTTGTTGACTTCCCTGGCTTTACGAAAATAGTCTCCATCGTTGCGGGGGTGGATACCTGCAGAGTTGACTTCACGGCTTACTGCCGGCACAGACCATTACCCCTAGCAGTATATAACACCGTCCTCTTCCCGTTCTTGCTTCATTTTTCTTTCCTCTTCTTCTTCCTTCCCTTGGGGCAGTATGGTCAATTTGAGACGACACAGAGAAGATCAGCATGGCCCCTGCACTAAGGATGACACGCTACTCAAAGAGACGCTAAACAGGGTTTTTTTTCTTTCGCTGTGATCATGGTCCCTTTGGGGCTGTGATATGGAGAAGAAATACTTTCTCTCCGTTGGTTACTTGGGGCGCTGGCATACTTGGTGCTCGTTTTCCCCTTCTCTTTAGGACATAAAACCCATGCCTCGGGATTGTGAGACATACTCGTGAGGGAGATGACACATTTCTTCATAACAATTCACCTTACATGTATTTACGCACAATATATATTATTTCTGAACTAGCTGCACGCCTAATGTAATATGTCGGCCAATTTATGTCGTGGCTTTAATTCTTGTTTGCTACTACTACCTACTTGGGCTGTTTGTTGAACATGTGGACATGGACATCGTGTGGCCCTCGCATGACTGTGTCGCTGAACTCATGTGCTTGATAGAGCAACTTGTGCTGGACGCAGATGCTTGTGCGACATACATGCATGGTGACATATGCCGAGATGCAATTGACTTTATCAGGCACCAGAACTCACAAAGCAAAAATAGCGCTTCTAAAAAGGTTGTATTCACCACGGTGACTACGGAGGGCTTGTGCTTGTGAACCGACCCGCTGCTTGATAGTGAGTCTCCCTGTTAATTATATATGCATATGCCTAATCTGCCTGGGGCATATGGGTGGTAATACCGAAGGGCACTCCACAGCATATAAGTGAACGTGGGACGGCATCTTGAAGGCGCCGTCGGTGGCACTTGACTCCCTTCTCAATGGATATGGGGGGATGTAAACCAGATCAAGGGTGAGACATCTCACATATCCCGAGCTGTTGCCCACCCTGTCCCATGAGATGGATGCCATAACGGGCAGCCGGGCCCGAGAGCAAGGATAGCGACACTCACATAGTCTGCCAGGCAGATCATGAGCGGGTGGTTTTTGCCTCGACGTACTTTTGAAGGGTGGCCTTTTGCAACTCTCTTTGCTCGTTAATAATCTCCCATAGTTCCTCATTCTGCTTCTTCAACTCTGGGTCGCTTGCCACAGGTCGCTGAAGCGCGGCTATTGCGCTTTCCAGGACATCCTGCGGGAAGCCTGGCGTGTTTAACAGCGAGTCGAACCTTGTTTGAGAGACGGACGGTGAGTCAAACTGGGTGGTGAAAGTGTATGTCTGGTCGGCCTGTGCAGGTTTTGTAATATTTACGGGTTTTGTGGCCCGGCCCGTCGGGAAGGGCGAGACAAAGACGATGTTGGAGACGGCAGCATTGAGGTTGGCCAGCTCAACAGGCGTCTTGTTATCGACGACATCCCATTTCAGAATCTGGCCTTTGGAGTGCCCAGTGACAAGGGTTGTTCCGTCATAACTCAGGCTCAGGCAAGAGGCGGGCCCGACATCGGGCTGGGTGGCACCGAAGGGTGCGGTAATCTGGACGACGGTCGAAGCGTCCTCTGACTGGGGGCCCAGCAGGGGCTTCTCAGCAAAGAGCTCTGCAAGGTAGAGAGAGCCGTCTTCACACCCCACGCAAACAGCGCGGGAGGACGGGTCTAAAGAGAGGCAGAGAGGGAAGCTGGGGAAAATCAAGGTCCGCAACACGTCGCCAGTCTGGTAGTTCCAGATAATGCAGGACTTGTCTTTGCTCGCCGACACGCAGAAATTGGTGTCCAGGCTGACACTGGGGCTGACCGAGAGACCGGTGATGGCGGCTCTGTGGTTAGAAAGACTCCGCTCTGGCTCGTGCTCGACAGTCGAGTCGAGCTCCAGCAGCTGAGGGAGCGACCACACCTGGATGTTGGAGTCATCCGAACCGGTGAGGACGTGGTAGGGGGTTGCTACCACGCAGGATACTGCCTGGACGTGGCGCGGAGGGGTCGACACTAGCCGCCCAGTACATGTCTGCGATGGTGTGTGGTCAGCAAGGGGGCAACTCGATGGACACAGTGCAAAACCGAGAAGAGAAACTCAGCTCACCTCCCATAGAATCAGCCGCCCTTCGGCAGTGCCCATGATGAGCACATCGCCGGCCAGAGTCAGGCAGCGAATCCTCTCTGGGAAGGCAACAAAGGCCTCCTGGTTGCCCCGGACTCTGGAATAGACGTGCACATAGGCCTTCTCATGTTGGCCAGCAAAGACGTGTGTCTCACTGACGGCAAGGCAGTTTACTGGCACTGAGCTCTTCTTGAAGGTGGACTTGACCGTGTAGGTCGGGCTCAGGGCGTGGCAGTAGATCCCGACGTCCTTGGCAATGGCCGTATTGGAGCTCAGGGGTGGGCCCCATATGGCCGAGACAAACTCCTCTGAAAGCATCTTTGCTGCTGGGGCAGCGGGGACACGCACGAAGTAGAGTGGTGAACTACGGGCCAACCACGGCGAGTAAACGAGAAACGAGAAAAAAGAAAAGAAGAGTGACGGCTGTGGGTGAAACGTATGGCGGATGACGCTAAGCCTAAAAGGTTCCAAGGGATAGTTGCCTTTCTTTCTGTCTGTCTCTCTCTCTCTCTCTCTTGTTTTTTGTTGGGATCCGGTGATGGACAAGTGTACATACACTGCAGGCTGCTGCGTTTAGCGGCTGGTGGTGTTGGTGATGTTGGTGGTGATTTTTGTAGTGCTGCTATGTTGCACTATGGAAGCGAAGGGCGTTGTCCTTTTTTTTTTTTCCTGTCCGATTTCTCCCTGAGAGCAAAAAACCATACGAGTGCTCGGGCAGCGAATTTCCAAAATGGGGTTGGTGAGTGTCGATCGGCTGCAAGTGAGGGCTTCAGAATGCAGCGGTTGTGAGGTTGAAAATTTTACGGGCTTTTTTGGGAATGTGGCAGCACTAACAGCGCACTGACCCTCCATGGGTGCCAGGTCGCTCGCCTAAGCACACCACACCCGACCCGCTGCAGCGGCCAAGCTGGGCTGGCAGCCTAGTAAACCTGGCTCCCGGTTGGTGGTGGGGCATGGATGGAAGGCTAGCCAATGAGAACGCTGCCCGCCAGTGTCTCTCAGCCGCAACCGTCGACCATGATGCAGGTGCACTCTAGGGTTGCACGAAGTCGGCCTTTTACGTGTAGGCCTTTTGCTCCAACTTTCCCAAGTCTCCCCAAACCTGAGCAAGTGGGGGACAAAAAAAGCCGGACTGCGAACCACCCAAAATCAGACATAATATCGTTATCGCGAGGAAAACGAGCTTCAGTACAGCCCTTATTCCTGCTTCGCAGACTAGGAATTAAGAACTATTTACAGAAATGTTTAAATCGTTTACTCTCCTATTTTTTTTAAAAAATAAATTCCCCATTTGATTTGGCAGAAAATATCGCAGCTTGCGTTGGGTGAGTGTGTTAGGGAGTCCGGCTTATTTCATCCTCCACTTTGCCTGAGCTCCCGCGACCCAGGCACGCCAGGAGATCCAAAGGGTCCAAAAGGCATCCAAAAGGGCGGGACCCACCCGAATTCGCTCTTGTGCCAGGGGACTCCCATGGATAGCGTCGCATTCGACGTGCATTGGACTGCAGCCACTGCGTCTAGAGGCGGCAGACTCGGGTCGATTGACGCGATTGGATTCGATTTCACCTGGCGACGCGCAAATATTGGGCCCACCTGACAACAGCAACAGCAGCAGCGACAAAGCAGCGGCAAGCAAGAAACGGACAGACAGACAGACAGACAGACAGATAGACCGACAGACGATTTTCACTTTTCAATCCAGAGATGAATCATTGGATGACGGTCAGCGCCCAGTCCTATCCCAATCCAGCCCCGCCCTGCCCTGCTCAGCCGATGCATCCATCTCGCCATCTCTGCCTGTCCCAACTCCCCCAAGCTTCCAGTTCTCTGTCTGTCACATCTCAGATTTGTTCCCAGCTCGCTTGGACTCGACGAAGCGACGATCACTGCCCGATTCTATTTCTCCTGCCTCGTCCCCCCTCCCACTTCAGAGGTTTTTTTGGGTTTTTTTTGGGGGGGTTTTACACCTCCTGAGTGATGTTCGTCTCGGCTGGTGGGGCATGCAAGAAGAGAACCGGCTGTCGGTGGTGGCCCATCATGAGATTGCTAGTGCCAACTTTTGCACCGTCCGAGCGGGAAGCTGGGCGTGCGGGCTTGCGGCTTGCGAGCTGCGCGGGAGGGGCCAGCCTCCAACGCCGGATCCGTTTCTTGTTTCGCCTCCTCGGCCTCGGCGCCGCGGATCGACACCAGGGAAGTCGATCTAAGCTAGCCTCCTTTGTGTTCTTTGTCCGATCGCATTCTTCCATGTCTTGGGCCATAGAGGTACCGACTATCTACCTACGCTACGCTATTAGACACGCACGAAAGTAGAAGGTAGGCAGTTAAGCAGGTAGGTAGGTAGGAAGGTGGGCAGGCAGGGTAAAGGAGGGATCGACCCAGGCGACCCAGAAGTCTTGGCCCAGAGAACCAGATAGCAGCTCGATGTCTCCCCGAGTGGGGCCTTTGACTGTCTGCTCGCTGCTGCTGCTGGCTGGCCCCCTCTGCATATCAATCACATCCGGACAAACTTGCACACACACGAGCCGAACAAGTGTTGGGTTAGATTTGAATCTCAACCCCGTCCGGACATGCGATACGTCTTGGGGAAACTCAATTCAGATTCAGACCGTCTTGGGCACTGTGTACATGTGCAAGCCCTCGAGTCCACCCTCCTCCACCGCCGGTAACTTGCTCTCGAGTCTAGCCGGCCACTTTGGCGCCTGATACCGTCCCTCTCTTCAACGGTC